ACTCGATAAAAGAATTGGAACTTTTATAAATTCTTGATTTTCAATTCGGAATAGAGATATTGGAATTGGAATTTATGATTAATTTCTGGCTGGCACTCGAGAAATGGGAAAGGAATATATTATGATTCTTGCTTTTAAATATGAGAAAATTAACTGGAATAATTAAAAATCATTGAATCATAATTGAGAATAAGGTCAATCCCTAGGCCTTCTCATATTGATAATTTGCATTAATCAACTTTGTCACAACAAATCACATTACATTAGTTTAAACATCCATTCATCTAAATAAAGTAGAAATTACACAATTATAGTACTTAATGAGAATTAAATTACAATCTCTGTGGGTTTAACATTCTTAACTTTCATACTATATTACAAAATTTGACACCGTACACTTGCAGTATAAATCACGTTGCATAAAATGTGTGGCAGTAACACAACTAGTAATCATGAAATATTACATTTCTCTGGTATTCAGAGTCTGTTTGGTTTGAATTAAAATCTGATTTTAATTTAAGTCAAAATCAAACAATTAATATTAATCACATGGATCCTACAACTTTTTAACCACACATTTCAAAATATTCTATCACGGTCTACTAAAAAATCTAACTTTAATCCCCACAAACACCCTTCCAAATATATCATATGGCATCTGATAAGTATTAGATTTCAGACACAATACCATGAAATTTGCTACCTTAGTGACAATACACACAATTAGACAAAATAATTCATAGAATTTATTTACAGATATCTATTATTTCCAATCAAATATGAAGAATCCTGAAAATTAGTGTCTCTCCATTGTTAACGAGCATGGTGCCGGTACCTAGCCCCATATTCCCGAAGCCATGTATTCTTCACAAACATGAAACATAAATATCATTGTACAATGACGTTGAAGAGATATTTAAAATGAATAGGCGTAGTTTTTATATAAAAGCTTAAAAGTTTATATAAAACTGTATTATAGTCATGAAAAGCTCAATTATAATATTTTTGCACATTTCAAATTTAGATGAAGATGAATTCAAGGAACATTAATGATAATATTTAAAACAAATAGTAAATATATACCACATTATTTTGGTTTCATCTTAGGTTGGTTATGACCGCAGTAGTTAGTTTATAAGCATCATAATGTGGAGAATAATCAAATACCAAACCCGAATATGGAACTTTTATTAAGCTCTCGATTGGTATAGTTAAAAAATTAAATAAAACTTTAAGTCAAAATTAAAAATTAATTTTAATTACAGTTTTCATGGGAATCACAACTTTTATCTTTTTAACCATACATCCTATAAACTACCATCAAGGTCTATTAAAAAAAATTGATTTTTAACAAGACCAATCATGGGATAAGCAAATTGCATAGAGTGACAAGAAAAGAAAGCAATGCAAATCAAAAGTATGTATCACAATTATTTCAGGTTTTCGTTTCATGAATGCATATGGCTAGGGATGGCAAAAAGGCTTGAGGGCTTGAGCCGCTTCTGGCCCGGCCCGCAAAAATCTCGAGCCAACTCAGCTCGAGGCTGATCAAATTGAGCCTAGGCTCAAGCTGAGTCCCATCTTGGGGTGCGGGCCGAGCCCGAACTGGCCTACGTGGCTCGCGGGCCGACTCTACACAAAAAAAAAGCAGCTTGAAAAGGCAGCTAGTTGCTTCCTTTGAAAAGGTAGCCTGCAGCTGAAAAAAAAAAAAAAAAAAGGTTCGGCTTGGTAAGGCTTGAGCCTCTCGATTACTTGGTCGAGTTTTTTCTTGACTCGGCTCGAGCAAAAAAAAACCCCTCTTCAAAAAAGCTCGAACCGAGTTCGAGCCTTAATTTTCGACTCGTGAACCCGCTCGACTCTACTCGTTACCATCCCTACATATGGCTCACCTCTGATCATTCACTATCTTTGATGTAAAAGCATGATAATTATGCATTGTGCATGAGTTTGTTTTCTTGATAAACTCTACACTCTTCTTTTTTTTCTCTCTCTCTCTCCACCTTTTTTTTTTTTGTAGAATTATTCTGCTCGCATGAGCCTTGGACAAATTGGGGCGCCACCTTATAGGTGTGGGGCCTGTATAATATGTATTATTAGGACAACTCTAATGGTAACACCAAATCATCAAATTGTACAATTTTTTGGTGCAAAGTTGCTCTAATGCAATACTATACTTTGCACCAATTTGGTACAAAATAGTGAAAGTGTATAAAGTCTCTTTTACCCTTTTTTATCATTTTCCAAATAAATTTGTTAAGGGTATTTGTGTAAATTGTGCTATATATTTTTTAATACAATAAATTATTGTTGTTATTGTTGTTATTATTATTATTTGCATTTAAAATAAATTTTAAATGTAAGAAATAATAATTAATAAATTAATTGAAAGAAGAAAAAAATTTAAAATATAACAAACATGATTATTTATTAAAGTTAACATGAAATATATTAAACAATGACATACATACGATTATCTAATTTTATTTTGCGATTTCGTAATATCGTCTATCCAAATTCACAATGCATTGTACTATTTTCTAATGGCATGATTTAATACTTTCGTTGTTGTAGTGTTTTTATTAATTGTACTATATTTTTTATATTTATTAATAAATTTAATTTTTTTCGTAATTTAAAATAATTATTTATTTAGTAATTTATGTATTTATAAAATAATTAAATAAATAATATCTCAATGATATACATACGATTATCTAATTTTATTTTGCGACTTCGTAATATCGTCTATTCAAATTCACAATGCATTGTACTATTTTTTAATGGCATAATTTAATACTTTCGTTGTTGTAGTGTTTTTATTAATTGTACTATGTTTTTTATATTTATTAATAAATTTAATTTTTTTCGTAATTTAAAGTAATTATTTATTTAGTAATTTATGTATTTATAAAATAATTAAATAAATAATATCTCAAATAAATAAATTATAAATAATAAAAATGGAAGAAAATGGTTAAACACTGTTCATTTAGTGTAATTTTTGGTGTAATGGTTGGAGACGAATTTTAATTTGATGCAAAATTTGATGCAGCGTTGGAGATGACCTTATGTTCCGTCTTTTCAATTTGACATTGACCAAGAATGATTTCTTGTTGTTGAGAGAGTACATTAAATGGATCAATGACGAAGGCATGGTATATTGAGAATTAAAAATCATATTTCTACTTAGGGTTGTAAGCAAAAATCGTTAAAACGAAAAATCGAACCGAAATCGCATTTTAGAAATCATTGGTTTGGTGCCACGTGGATCTGGTCAACGAAATGATTTTGAACCAAACCAAACCGGTCAAAATAGTTTGGTTTATGTTTGAAAATTTTAATTGCGGTTTAAAACCATACCGGACTGGCGAAAATATATATAAAAATAAAAAAACGAAATTTTTTGAAAATTCATCCAAATATATAAAATTCAATAGTTTTGTCATTTGTGAGTATTTTTGTCAATTTCTAATTTTCTAATACAAATATATTATTATTATCCAATAATCCTAACTTATATATAATAATCTCAAGACTAATATAATCTATCAAAAATCATTTTCCTCTTCAGAATTTAGATGAATTCCAACCGATACCCAACACAATCTTGAGCCATCAGCACCACACACTTCTTTTTTCAGGTTTTTTTACACCTTTTCAAAGTTGAATTGAAATCCATTATACCAAATTGGAGAGAAAGAGATCCTAGACCATCCGTGATAATATTTGTTAAGAATAAAGTTTCAGATCAATAATTTATTTTGAGCAAAAAAATCTGAAATTAAATATATTTCGTAACATCATACAAACGTAAATTTATTTAATTGTTATGTTTAGATATTATAAACAATTGCTTTATTATTGTGGTTGGCTATTCTCTTTGTCTAATTAGTTTCCTTTTTTCTTTTTTCAAATATGATGATCACGAGATTTTGTTGGACATCATCGTTTTTTTGGGCCTTATACCTAGTTTAATAAACTTGTATTGTAATTTATTGTATTGTCATTAGTCTAAAAAATGTGAACAAAAATGGAAAAAAAAAAAACTATGTTTTAGTTTATTGTAATTTCACTTTGATGTAGTTGGTATTTAAATTTATAGTAAATATATTTAGACCCTGTTTGAGCCATATTTTTCATATCATCATAATGAGAAAATTGACCGTTGAAGAGGAGGCTGTGTCCCACACATGAAACAGCAGGTTAACAAAGGCGGCTGGACTTGTGGGATAACGGTTAAAATTTTCATTTTTTTGTTCCAAAAATTTGGTTCAAATAGGGGGCTTAGCTTGTTTTAGATTTATTGTTAGTAAGATATAAATATATATTGAATTCAATGAATTAATGATATAAAAGTAGACAACAAAAAATATATATGGCGAAATCGGTGGTTTAAAACCGGACCAAACCATTAGGTTTAGGTTTGAATTTTTTTCAAACCGTTCAAAATGGTTTGATTTAAGTTTGAACTTTTCTTAAACCGGTTTAAATGATTTGGTTTAAAAATCTGTCAAAAATCGGTAAAATCGGACCGATTACACCCCTATTTCTACTATAAAGAGTAATAAATTCGCAAAACGAAATTAGATACGAGAACGTACAAGATTTTTACAAGTTTGTTTCAAAGTGAAATTATGTCCTCTTCCATCGCCACTGTAATTCACTATAAGATTTTTACAAGTTCGTCTCAAAGTGAAATTATGTTCTCTACCATTGCCACTGTAATTCACTATAAGGGGAAAAAAACTTTTAAGAGAAAATCGCACACCATATATTCTCTCTCTCTCTCTCTCTCATATGATGGTAATGAAAATCCTAAAGACAACTTATAAGATAAATTAGGGCAACATCGAAATTTAAAAGAACTAGCTCCGCACTACGTTAATAATTAGACTCCATGACTTAACATAATGAAAGTACGTGAGGGTTGAAACTTTGATGAACATGAGCATTTTGAATAAGCACATAGTGTCATAGCTCCATTGAATATTTATACTACTTAACTTTGTAGATTAAATATATCATGGATCATCATTTAGACTCAAATTGAAGGTGAAATGATCTTAAATCTTAAAAGTTAATTTGGAGTGCGACACGGACGAAAAATAATTCCATTGCATAAATACAAAAATACATATATAATCTTAAATTCGAAATGAATTCTTGTGGGGCTAATTCTCAAGTCACTACTCCCTTTTCTTTCATTTTCAATTATTAATTATGCTTGTCTGAGGTCAGAAACACCACATACGTAGTTGTCATAAATAGTAAGAAAATACAAAATATATTCGATATATCCATACACATTATACCCACATTTCCACGAACACACACATGGTAAGGGTCCTACTGTGTTTACCTTAAAACTCAGTTTTTCTCTTCACTTGTGCTTTACAAAACCCATAAAACATCTGCCATGGAAACCATCCAATCTCCCTCTATTGAAAGCTTTTCGTATAGTTGGTTAGCTAATTTCCAGCCATCAGTTTTAGACAATTCATTTCGAGCCTCCATCGACGGCCCTGATCAAGATGATCAAGCTTCTTTCATTGAAATGGATCCAAGATTACCACCGTCAAAGAGATTTTTCGGAGTTCCACAAGATTTTAGCTTTGATTTTCCCATATCAGAATCCCCTCTATCCCTTGTTCATGCTGATGAACTAATTTCCAATGGCTTCCTTGTGCCTCTTTTTGTCAAAAATTCGAACAAGGAAATTGAAAAATATGATGCTAAATACTCCTCAATATCGACTACCCCTACGCCCTCTAGCAGTAGGGTTAGAGGTGCTGATGCCGCGTTTTTTAGTTGTGCATTAAGAAGTTGTCAGAGATTATCGAAGCGTTTTCAACAAAAATATCTGAACGTTTTTAAGCTGATCTATCAAAGAATGAGAAGGGGTGGCTCGAGAGTTGGGAGTGTTAGTAATATGAAAATTCATGAATTAAATGGATGGGATTTTTCTCAGGTTTCATCTCCGAGAACTAGTGTAGCTTATTCTGCAGATAATTGGCGCCGGTCTTGTGATTCTGAGAGCTCCATTTTTGAAGCAGTTCTTCACTGTAAAAGAACCCAAGGTACATTAAATTATCTTATCCAAAGGCTAGTTCAAAGGAGAGGTATTTATTTATGACTGCAACACGTTCCTTTGCGTGTACATCGAATTTATTTTTTATAAAAAACAGTTTTTTATAAATTGATGAAGCTCAAAATCTGGACCTTTTTGTCGTCGCTGATGTCGTATTGAACCACCTCTCTAAGAGCTGCTCGATAGGGTTCACATTTAGCTTCTAAATAGTGTCATATTATGGTAATTTTTGTAGTTTATTTGGTTGGTTAAGTAAAGTTTACAGTGTTGAAGAGTACTAATGAGAAACTGATTGCTCAGTGTTACACGATACAACGTTTCAGATATGGTTTTACAGATTATAACATTCTCGAGGACTTTGATTATTTCAGGTAGCTAATCCGGGCTGTTTCTTTTGTGAGAATGGACAGACGAGAAGATGGAAACGGGAGAAGATTGTGATATGTCTGATATATAAATTTGTCTTCTTGATGAAGCAGCAATCTGTAAAAATTTTCAACCACAGAATTTGTAGAATTTTGAAGAAAAGAACATGGCATATGTCTTTATATTCTCTCTTCCAGGAGATCGCTTTTATCGCCTCGAAGAAGATATTTATTTCTTGTTCTTGTATAGTTTTGTTTGATGAAATAAATAATGTTCCAAACTTCAATTTCAATGATCATTGATTTTAAGCACTAATTAATGTTAAATCTTATTTTTTCCCCCTCAGAAATGCCACTAAAACAGGGTTGAAAACATGGGGGACACATGTCGAAGTGTGAATTGGCAGTTTGAAAAAAAGAAAAAAATACACTCAACTAAATGCTGTCAATTAACTCCGTCTGTCCACACTTTCCTTATTTTTAATCCTGTTCAACCATCATTGTTGTTTTTTCTTGACTTTGGCTTACTCCTTTGCTTAGATTACAAGTTTAATCAATGTAATTATGTGTTTGTATTTTACAAACAATGTGTCCAGGGATAAATCCTAGGACAAATATAAACATTAAACAATTTACAAAGTGTGATTGAAAAGTTGATGATCTCATTTTAGCCATCGTTTTTATAAAAATTGATAAAATGTGTGATTCAAAAATTGATGATCTTATGAAATGTGTGATTTTTAATAGATTTTAATGTTTGATGAGAATGTCAATTTTTTAAGATACGAACTCAAATCTTAATATGGCCCCTCCTTCGTTTTGCCAAAAATCATATTTTACTAAATTTCAAATAAAATTGTTGAAATTTGTGGTTGAAAATTTGATAAACTTTGTGGGTTGTGATTAAAAAATCCAAGATTGTAAGACCACGATTGTTGCCGCTTCAAATAGGAAAGACAGCATCAGTGATTGAAGATAACACCTATGGATAAATTCTTGGAATTTCTCTGCACATACCTTATTTGCTCTAAGCTTTGTACGCAAAATTTTGTGTACAAGTGCTATGAAAAATTTTCAAAGCATATTTATATTCAATATATACATATATATCTAAAATAAGCATTTTGTGTACAATGTATGGTAAAGTTAAGAATTTCTAACGGTTTTTCCTCCTTCCACCAACTATTTATTTAAGCTGAGATTAAGAAAATTGTCTTCTTGCTGAGATTTTTTTCCACTAACCGAATCAACAAATTTCTAAATGATGTTTTGGTGGACCTTACCAATAAAATTATTAAGGTTGGATTGAAGTCAATAATTTCAATGTGTATCTTTCTAATGTCTTATAGAACTGTCATGAGTATACAATTAATTATTTCTCCACTCCATAATAACGTGTATTTTCCTTTCTTTTTGGTGTTAATGATGTTTAACTATCAATTAAGTCTAAGTTATCTCAATGCTATGATAATGAAGAGACTTTTTGTTAAATATTAATATGACACGGTCAACATTAATATTTTATACTTCTAGGACAAAGAAAATACACTTAAATTTGGAACGGTTCTTGTTGTCAATTTTATCTTGCAAACTAACGAATCGTAAATAAGTAATATAATAATGAGTGGAGTGTTAAACCCACGAAAGCTTATTATCTACATATTGTACTTTAAATAATTATTAGCTTCAATTTTGGAAAACAAGTTCTTCGGATTTGATTTTTAACTGTATCTAATCTAATTATCTACGAAAATAAGCAATCAAAACTAAGCAATAAAGTCTTGAGATTAATCAAAGAATAATGCTCCTCGAACAGTGGCAAGTGACAAGGGAGAGATGACATGGTGGGATTGGAAGTTTTGTGCGTTTTTTTTTTTTCAAACTGTCCAATCATGTATCGATACGTGTTCCCTCTGTCATTGAATCTGTCACTGTAATAAGATTGTTAATCAAATCACAAAAGACACTAGGATCTCGAATCACTGATTCACTATTGTTAACCTACTTTATAATCCTCAATTACCCATTATTAATCAATTCTTATTTTAGGTAGACAATTAGTATTCCTTACGTGTTAATTTTCTTCAAGATAAATTAATTCAATTTTTATCTACAACCCAACTATAACTCTGCCACATATGTGAATAGATAAAGATGCAATACAAATCTAGAATGTCAAGCATAAAAGCATCTCTATCTGCTTTTAGGACCTATGTATTGTTTGTTATTTGAGCTAGAAATAATCCAACAACAATTAACCTAAGAACAATACTCCAACAACAAGTAATCAACCCACAAGAATTTAAATAAAAAAGGATGAATTTGTTGAACTAAAGATTAACAAGGTTTCATCAAAATCCTAGCAATAAAATGTTTGACCTCCCATATTTTGATCACAAAAATACTAGATAAATAATGAATATATAACCTGAATAGCTTGGAATAGAAGATTAGTGAAACCATAAATCTTGAATATATTAAGTAATATTGGACAACACATTTTTCATCTTCAAAAACCTCCAAAAATTTGTTGTAGTTTTCCTCCAAAGGGTTGAATGAATATTTTATCGAATTCTCCTTTATTTGACCTAGATTTGCTCTTTATATGGTCCTTGTTTTGTCTGAAAAGTCATGCAATTGAAATACCACGAATGTCCTTGAATTTGATTAAAAATTGGTTATGTTTAGATTTTGGGTGAACTGTGGTAGGCTACAGCAAACAAGTGCAATTTTGCTCCAAAATTAAGCTGTCGTCGTCATTGTTAAGCTTATGGTGATTGAAGTTCACAACTATCCAAAGTTTTGCAATTGGTCCCCTAGCGTCTAAAATTGTAAGTTCCGAATTTTTAATTTGCAGAACGTTTGATCCACAACTTTAAATTTCAATTTTATTTATTTATTTATTATTATTATTATGGCATTAAACTCAAAATTCAATTATCATTCCAATGGTATTATTTGACCTGTGGAGATCTTTGGATATTATTGTTAGATTTTGAGTTGGCAATTCTGTGAACAAAATGAGCAAATTGTAATTGTTCAAAAGTTTGAGGTCATATTGTCAATATTTAAAAGTTAGAGGTCAATTTGTACATGTGTAAAAGATGGGGGACTAAGTTGCAATTTTGTCAAAGTATGTTAGGGTTCGAGTTGTGAAGTGGAGCAATATGTGTTATTGAAGTTTCGCTAACTACTCGCCAAGTAGTTGCTCGAGCGTCAAAAACAAAAAACATTTCGCTCGAACGTAATAGCGTCGCTCCTTTTTTCGCTCGAGCGACAGTGTTATCTAGAGAACCCTATTTTCCTTTTTTCGAGATTTTGACCTGACACATATGACCAAAACATCTCATGTAAATTGGATTGCGCCGTTTTTCAGATTTTCTCTTAAGCATTGAACTTGAAGAAAATTCTCTATATCTTGAATCTTTCTTTCGATCCCACATTCAATCAGTGCAATCATCTAAAACTTCAAAACTACCTTCACCAAACACTGTAACACAACCTTCCAGAGTATTTGTTGATTCTTGAAGATTAAGGAATGAGATTGATATTCCGATCGATAGAGAACGGAGAGTTCTCTTAAATCCACATGAGATAGACGAAATTAAGAGCTTGGTATTGGTGTTGCATGCAATTCAGGAGAGCTAGGAGCGAGGAGTTGGTGCAGGATCACTCATTCCAGGAGGGCATTGAGAAAAATACTATTAGGAGGTCAAAAAAACTATTGTGGGTTGAATATGACGGATTGTAAGTAATATTTTCATTTATAGTGAATTCCTACTAGCTTGGGCTCGGAGTTTTACCTACATTAGGATTTCTCCGTCGTCAAATAATTGTGTTCCTTACAATTTCAGCACTTTATTTGTTTCCGGTATTTCAACATAGAGTAGTAAAACACGTGAATTGATCTGGACAAATTAATATTTGTGACTTGTTGCATTTATTAATAAATTGGTTAAGAATTCCACATAAACACCTAGTCACCTCCTTCTAAGTGTTAATTGGGTCGAACTACGTTATTTCAATTATAGTTTTCTCACATGTTCTGTATTTAAGCTTCTCATTTTGCATCTTTTAGTCATTTTATATCTGAACTTCAATCCTTTTGCATCAATCATCTTCGAATTTTGGGTTTAACATCTAAACGCAATATATTTACTAATATGAAAAGAAATTCGTCCAACTAATCAAATATTAAGAAAAGTTAAGAGCCTAAATAAGCATGTAAAAATATACTTATCAATTATTCAAAATTTTAGTGAAATATGTGTATCTTTTGTCTGAGCTCTGTTTTCATGAAAAAGAAAAATTGATTGACACATAACCATGCCTTTAGTCTAAAAGAAAAAAATGTATACAACATATCACAGAGTTTAAGGAGACGAATTCAATTGATGAAAATGAAATGATAACTGCAAAATGTTTCTAATTTTTATTTTTCGAGTTAGTCAATTATATGAATTTAACAAATGCTAGTTATTTGTTCAATATAG